GATTTCTCACACAGATTGGAACATATGACGATGATGGGGCGGTTAGACTCACATGAGCTTGAGACGTGGACTCGGCATTTTGATTTTTATTCTCTGCTCTTGTTTTCGAGACAAAAATCGGGGGGTTCATTTGGGTGGGAGGACGACTCAAAGAGGGCCAGAAGAGCCAACCCCCCTTACGCATTGCCTCAAAAGCGAAGCATACGTTTTTTCTTCTTTCTTCTGCATCACTGACGAAGTTGATGGTGCCTGGGAGAGTTTCAGCATCTCGAATTACATCTTACTTCCTTTTCTAAGGCGGTTCATTTACGATTGTTACGCATTTCGTACGACGTTTCGGGAGGATCTGACGAGACTGGATGAGACTGGATGAGAGCTTTTTCGTCAAGCTGAGGGCACGATGGATATGATGAAAGCACAGCGGGCTCCAAAGATGACATGACGATGGACGTTTGAAGGCAACGAGGTTGCCGAGCAAAGAAGGCGAGAGAGGAAGGAATGTGGAGGAGGAGGAGGATGGATCTCTAATGATCCTACACCTTTTTCCTATTTTATATGCGACGCCTCTGCGACGCTCACGATGATGATAACGACCAAATTTTAACGACAAAGACTTCATGGTATGAATGGCAAGAACAAAGATGACCAAAAAGAAATAAAAACAAAACGCTTTCAAGCTTTTTTTTTCGTTTTTGTTTTTTGCAAAGACTGTTGAATTTTATGCTTGGTGACTATGCTAGAGGAGAGGAGGAAAAGGGAGGGGGGAGAGCCGTATAGAAAGTTGGTGGTCATGTCTCCCAAGCTTGGGTAGAGGTTCGTGAAGTTGACATTGACACGGAGGAGTTCATGAAATCTGACCCCGGTAGCTTGCCGGGTCTCCTGGAGGGTGTAGGGCGGGGGAACGGGATTCAACAGTGATGATCGGTGGTGGGAAGCTAGGTTTTACCGGAGTCGAGGAGTCGGGAATGGAAGTGGGTGCTCTCTCGGAGGTTCTAGTTTGACCGGCAAAGGTACGGTACCAAGGTATCAGGCGGCGGGTTTTCTTGCCATGTAAGCACCCGCCATTCGGCGACTATAACTCTACCTCAATCTATAAAATTAGTTGTAGGGTACAGGTCCTTTACGTATCCTGACCCAACAATATCTACGTGCCATGCCCTCGCAAGGAGGGAACATCGAAGTAGTATGCCTCGACATGCGGCGGGGCTGGTATCTCCCCCCCCCCCTTTCTAAGCTGCGAACTAACTAAGTACCTCAAGTGGGCGAGGAGAACAAGAGACGGGATATGTGGCAATACCTGGTATTGCTTGCGCGTCTGTGGAAAGTACCTGTAGCTTCAAATCGGATTGATGCAGTTGAGCAAGAAACAGGTGAATATCTTTGAGCAGCTTAAGGATGTCATCCACATCAAGTTTTTTCTTTTCCTGTTCAAGATTGCCATTGCTGCCTTGTCTGGTTACATACATTCACTTTTTCGTCTCTTACAGACGTTTTATCCCACCTTGATACGCATGAACTACTTATGCGTAAACGGATCCCGCATGACTCCAAAGCGGAACTACAAGTCATGGCATCTTTGCACAGAAAGCCACGAAAGAAAAAGCCTGGCAGCAAGATTCAGATGATGTGCTGTTTGCCTTTGGTCGTTGAAAGTTGGAGTGTATCCGTAGGATGGGACGGACGGAGCGGGAGTCCGTGTGGCGTGGTGCGGATCTCGGCCGGGGTTTATTCGGATCTTAGCACGGAAGGGTGGGGAGGACCGGGCTACCCCTTCCAGAGGTGAGAACTGACGGAGGATTCCAACGGGCAAGTGAGAGAGATCATGGCTCCGAAAAAAGGAAGGGAAACTAAATATGGAAATGAACGTACCTGTCACTGTCCACTGCCTACAGGTTTACAAGACTAATTGCAGGCTGATATGTTGAGCAGCAGCATCAGAAGCCAAATAGCAAAAGAATGGCCACGGCCGAAATTCGACGCCGGGCGGTCCCGGGATGTGGATTGTGGATTTTCTTCTCTTTCAAGTTTGAGGTGGCATGTCACGTTGGTTCTGTGACCCCCACTTATCGGCGTCCTCAAGCGTTCTGGAACTGTGACTGCCCACGGTGCCCCCTACTCCGTACGTAGTAGAGGCTTGTAATCATGGATCGTGGGCCGGACGCGGTTGTTTGAGAGGAGAGGAGGTGAACACGTACGTCACGTCGCATGTTGAGCGATTTGAGGATCCTCTCCGCCGGGCCCATGGCACGAAGGCATCCCCCTCTCAAGGCCCCCAAGGGTGGGTGGCTCAATTGACGATTTTCCTGGAAATCATTGTGGCTTTGCACAGAGGGGCGACTTCCCCTACTACTGCTACTACTCCTCCACCCCAGCTTTCCTAGTCACGAGATGGGGATTTCTGCCGCGGCATTGGACGACGTGTAGCATGAGGTGGGATGAGCGACTCCACCAGCTGAGGCGTCAAGGCGAAATCTGTCCTGACTTGGCCATGATCATTGATAGCTGTTGGCCTGTTGCAGCGCAATGTGGGCGAGGTGCTACTTCTCGAATGCGCCGAGACATGCTCATCAACCGAAGAGGAAAAAGGATGTCAAGGGAGAGATGTAAGTTTGAAGGCTTGATAGCTCGAGGGAAGGGATGCGACGCTGGCATTCGTCGTAATTGCGGCATGGACTCGTAAACACAACACGAGCGGCCGAGCCCTGCAGCTGAAGAAAGCTCGTGTCCCGGGCGTGAGCATCCTCTTGTCTCCTCACTGAGGCTTGATCTTCCTGGTTCCCCAGCATCTGTTCCCGTGATGCTGACGGACGAGCAGAGATGCGCATCCATGATCCGGGGGACAAGAGGAGGCAAAAGTCGCGAGTTTAGTACGGGCCCGCCGGTCAGCTGTCTTCGGATCTGTAGGGAGAGCCCTTGCAGTCTAGGTTTCGAGCCAGCCAGACTCTAGAGACAGTGGCCCCCGCGGCACGTCCAGATGCGGACTTCATACGGGCGGTCCAGTATCGGCTTACGGTCTACGACGGTCTACCGTTTTGACGTCTCTCCCCCAAGGATGTGATGGTAAAGATGCAGTGCGCCGTCGATTGGCTTGAGGTTTGAAGACAAGACTGCGGGCGGCAGCGGCAAGCAAGGGAGGGCGGAGGGCAGGCATGGGCAAATTCGTCAATCTCGGCAGGGGAAATTGGGGGTAAGGCTGGGTTGACGAGGCCTCGCGGAAACTCGAATGTGTTTGGCGGGTTGAGGTGATGTGCTTGTGTGCCAATGTGCTATGCGCCAGGAGTTATGTTGCCATTGGGGCTGACGAGTCGCCGCAATCTCGAACTGGAACGTCGAGTCCTCAAAGTCCCCATCGTCCAGCTACACCTCCACTTTTTCTCTCTGTCGCGGCCATTGAGAACCTGGAAAGGCTCGGAGGGCCGAGTATGGTGCCTCTTCCATTGCCGAACGAGTTGTGAACTTGTGATTGTGTAGTGTACTCCGTACCTATCCCCACACACGGATCGCCGGGAGGGTATGTTTTCGTGCTTGTACGAGTCTGTTTCTGTAGTCTTGTAAGCTGTGCTCGTGCTTTCGTGCGGATAGTGGTTTTTTTTGAGTTTGAATATCGATGCTTTGTACAGATAGAGTAGAGGAGCGTACTCGGTAGGACGGGAGCGACAATCGAAAAGCTGGAGAAAGTGATGGGTGGCAGCCCCTGACAGCTGGGCCTTGCCTGAGCTTGGGGCTGGGCTGGGCGTTGCGGCGTAGCGTTGTTGCATGGCAGCATGGTCCTTTCCTTCCCAGGACTTTGCGACTTCTTCTTTTTTTTTTTTCCTTCCTCTCGCCTCGGAGCCCCACTCTTGTTGACGGGATGGGATTGGACGATGGGATCACATGGGGGTACTGCGCACGGGGAGAGGAGGGAGGTCATTGGATGGGATTCCGCATTGGCCATGGAACGGTACGTCTTCTGGTCTACGTATCCTGAAATTCGATGAACCAGGAAAGAACAGTGAACAGTCCTACCTTCCTTTGGTTATCAACAACTTCAAGTCTCTCAAGTAGGTACCTCATTCAGCTACAAGAACATCTCTGTGTGCGTGTTATAATTGGAACACCAGGATTCAAGTGTCAACTATGCCTACCTAGCTCATCTAGGAAACGTGGAATGGTAAATGGCTCTGATTGGGATATAAAAAAGTCTAGAACAATGTACCAAAATGCCAGACACTTTGCAGCCCAGCATGTTGGTGCTAATCCCGCCCGTTAGTGTACCCGTTCGAACCCCCCATTCCGCCCCTGGGCCCCTTCTCTTCCCCCCTTTGGGTGCCCTGTGCTCCTTGCCGTGCTGCCCCCAATTGATTGCCATCGCAGGCAGCCCGGTTAATGTATCATTCCATAGAAAACGCAGTGCTGAGTGACTTACAACTTGTAATTGACTGGGACCTTGGGGGGTACAGATGTCGTGTCATTTTTGAAGGTGCCTTTTCCCTCACCACCCTGCGCCTCTTTTCGCGTCTCTCCTGCTCTTTCTGCCTTCCCATCTGTGACCACTGACCACTGACCAACCGTGGACCTCTGACCTCCCTTTTTTCCCCATCCCAACTTTCTGAACTCCCCTCGTGGCTTCCTTCACTGCACTCGCTCAACCTCTTGCCTTTTGCAACTTTCTCCTCCCAAAAGGTCTTCTTCCACTTTCCCATCTTCGGATCTACTTTCCACAAGCAGGATTCCATTGTATACCCTTTTGGAGCAAAGGCACGCCTGTCTCTCTCTGTTTTAACAACCTTCTAATCTTCCATTTCTGGATCTGAGCAAGCTACCCCTTTGGTCACCTCAACCAAATACACGCCAGTCCTCCTCTCCGAACAAGCGCAGCTTCCCCTTGTCGCCAAATCCAGTCACACCGACCAGGCCAAGAGAACCTCTTCCCTCTTTCAACTCTTCACACACTCGTTTACATACGCACCTCACCCACGGAAGCTACCACGTCTTCCTTTCTCTGCGTCGTTCAACGATATCGAACCATCACCTAACCCCTCAACTACAATACCATCAACATGAAGGGTAAGCACTTGCCCCATACGAACAGCTACATGCGCTTCAGCCTGCCCCAGTCCCGGCCTTGCCCAGCGATCTGCTATACTCGAGGCTGGCTGGCGGCAGGCGCATTATGTGGTCGGCAGTGACGCAGACTTGCTAACTTGCTTGAACAGCCATTATTCTCGTCGGCGGCTTCGGCACTCGTCTTCGCCCTCTGGTACGTCCATTCCTCTCCCTAGCTTGAGCACACAACATACAGCAGCAGCAGCAGCAGCAGCAGCAGCAGCAGATCTCTGCCAGCGACTGCAGCACCTTTCACACCCTGACAGAATATCTTGCTGACCTGTTTATTCCAATGCGCAGACCCTCACCCTCCCCAAGCCCCTGGTCGAGTTCGCGAACAAGCCCATGATTGAGCACCAGATCGAGGCTCTTGCTGCTGCTGGCGTCACCGATGTTGTCCTCGCCGTCAACTACCGCCCCGAGGTTATGGAGAAGCACTTGGCTGAGGTGGGTCTTTCCATGAGCGTCCCCTCTACAGCTATCATAATAAATACTGACTTGCTTCATCCATAGTACGAGAAGAGGTTTGGCTTGAACATCACCTTCTCCGTCGAGACCGAGCCCCTCGATACCGCTGGTCCCTTGAAGCTGGCCGAGAGCATCCTTGCCAAGGACGACACCCCCTTCTTCGTCTTGAACTCGGATGTCATCTGCGACTTCCCCTTCAAGGACTTGGCCGAGTTCCACAAGAACCACGGCGATGAGGGCACCATTGTGGTCACCAAGGTCGAGGAGCCTAGCAAGTACGGTGTCGTTGTCCACAAGCCTAATCACCCCACCAAGATCGACCGCTTCGTCGAGAAGCCCGTCGAGTTTGTCGGCAACCGTATCAACGCTGGCATGTACATTCTCAACACCAGCGTTCTCAAGCGCATTGAGCTTCGCCCCACCTCGATCGAGAAGGAGACCTTCCCCGCCATCGTCAAGGATGGTCAACTGCACAGCTTTGATCTCCCCGGCTTCTGGATGGACGTTGGTCAGCCCAAGGACTTCCTTACCGGCACCTGCTTGTACCTCACTTCTCTCACTAAACAGGGTTCCAAGGAGCTTGCCTCCCCTTCAGAGCCTTACGTCCACGGCGGCAACGTTCTGATTGATCCCTCTGCCAAGATTGGCAAGCACTGCAAGATTGGACCCAACGTGACGGTCGGCCCTAACGTCGTCATTGGCGACGGCTGCCGTCTTCAGCGCTGCGTCCTGCTGCCCGGTTCCAAGGTAAAGGATCATGCGTGGGTTAAGAGCACCATTGTCGGCTGGAACAGCACTGTTGGCAAGTGGGCTCGTCTCGAGAACGTCACTGTCCTCGGCGACGACGTGACGATTGGTGACGAGATCTACGTCAACGGCGGCAGCATCCTCCCCCACAAGAGCATCAAGGCCAACGTCGACATTCCCGCCATCATCATGTAAAATCAAACCGAACCACCGAAAAAACACTATACCCGGGCCTGGACGAACACTCTGAGGGTCCGCGCTCTTCACACTTCTTGTCTGCACGCCTGTTCTTATCGACTTTCTAATTTTAAGTTGCGATACGATTCACCACTCCACTCATGAGTCTTCAAACTTCAAGAAACGGGGGCGGAAACCAAACACTACATTTTTGGCTGGCGTCGGCAGGGGGGAATCATTTGGCGAGCACAGAAAAGCACTTGGCTTTGCGATGTTTTACTTACTTTTTTGCGTTTGGGAAAGATGATGGTCCCCAATTTCGTTACGAAATGCAGACGAACGGTGTCGAGGGCTGTTTCCCAGTTTGGAGGATATCTCCCTCGATGTGCCGTGGACATGGAAGATTCCCAACTGTGGAGTCATCTGTGAGACAGATGAGAATAAAGATGATACCTCTGAATTTGATGCCCCGAACGTGCTTTGAAAATGGTGACAATTTGTCGTGTTGCTCATGCGCATGTCATGCGAGTATCTCATGATTTGATGTGGGGGGAGGAGGGGTGGAGGGATACCTTAGATGACGGATCACATTTGCGCCTTCCCCGTGTGGATGGGTGAGTGGGTGCGAAAGGCAAGCAAGGCAAGAAGCCGACTTGATAGGTATCCTGTCTAAACGAAAACAACTTTCCCCCAATATCATACCACCATCCCAAAAAATTGGCTTCTTTCTTCTTTTCTGTATACCCAAGTACTCCGAACAAAATCTTCAAACCCAGATGCTTCTCTACACTTTTCTACTCCGTATTATCACGCACCCAACCCCTCGACATCTCGACAGCCTGCTCCCACTTTTTAAACATCTTCTGACTCGTCTCCTTGTCGAGCGCGGGCGTAAAGATCTTGCGCCCCGTCTGGTTGACGTGCTTGAGGTCCTCGAGCTCGTCCCAGACGCCCAGCGCGAGGCCGGCGGCGATGGCGGCGCCGAGGGCCGTCGTCTCGCGCATGGCGGGGCGGTCGACGCGGATGCCGCTGATGTCGGCCTGGGACTGCATGCAGAGGTCCGAGTTGGAGAGGCCGCCGTCGACGGCGAGGTTCTCGAGGGCGTGGCCCGAGTCGGTGGCCATGGCGTCGAGGATGGCTTTCGTCTGGTAGCATGTCGCTTCGAGGGTCGCGCGGGCGATGTGGCCTTTCTGGGTGTGGGCTGTGATGCCGACTATTTTGGACATGTTAGTAAGGTGAGTGGTGTTGATTGAGAGATGACGACTTACACAGAGTTCCCTTTGCGTCGTCGATCCAGTATGGCGCAAAGAGGCCGCTGAACGCCGTCACGAAGACAACGCCGCCGTTGTCAGGTACAGTCTCGGCCAGCTCCGAGATACGAGACGAGTCCTCGACAAAAGACAAGTTCTTGACGAGGAACTTGACGCCCGAGCCCGCGACTGCGATGCTACCCTCGAGGGCGTATACGGGCTTCCTGCCCTTGCCGAAATCGTACGCAACGGTAGCCAACAGACCCGACTTGGAAATGACGGGCTCCTCGCCGACATTGTACAACAGGAAGCAGCCGGTGCCGTAGGTGTTCTTTGCCTGGCCCGGGGAGAAGCCGCACTGGCCGACGAGGGCGGAAGACTGGTCGCCCAGACAGCCTGCGATGGGCACGCCTTTGAGGACGCCACGGGCAAAGGAGCCAAAGGCGGTCGGGTCGGAGGAAGGGACGATTTTGGGGAGGTGGATCTTGGACTGGTCGATGCCGAAGAAGGAGAGGAGAGTATCGTCGTATTTGAGGGTGCGGAGGTTCATGAACATCGTGCGGCTGGCGTTTGTCGAGTCGGTGACGTGGATCGCATCGTCGCCCTTGTCTGCGCCGCCATTGAGGCGGTAGATGAGCCAGGAGTCGACGGTGCCGAAGGCGATGTGGCCCGCGTCGTAGGCTTCGCGGATGGAGGGGACATTGTCGAGTAGCCAGCGGAGCTTGACGGAGGAAGGGTAGGTAGACAGGGGCAGACCGCAGAGGTCCTGGAGGGCGTCTGCGCCGGGGCGGACGCGGAGTTCGCGGACGAGGGAGGTGGTGCGGGTGTCGGGCCAGACGACGGCGTGGTGGAGGGGTTCGCCGGTGCGGACGTCCCAGAGAACGGTGGTCTCGCGCTGGTTGGTGATGCCGACGCCGCGGATATTGGCGGCGGAGTAGCCTTGTTCAGCGAACTGGGCCATTGCCTTTTCGACGCATTCTTCGACAGAGGAAAGGAGCTCGAGGGGGTCGTGCTCGTGCCAGCCCGAGTGCGGGTAGTGATTCTCGAACTCGATCTGGTGGCTTGCCACGGGATCCCCGAGGCCGTTGAAGATGAGGAAGCGCGTCGAGGTCGTGCCTTGGTCTATGCTACCTACGAACCAGTGTTCTTTGAGCTCTTCTTGGGTCTCTGTGATGCCGGCTGGGAGGTTTTCGGCCGGATCTGCGGCCACGCGCGGGCGTTTGGTTTCTCTTGTCTCGGCCATTGTATTGTCGTTGCTGGTGCTGCTGGTGTGGTAGGTTGTTGGTAAGTCAAGAGGAAGAGAGAGGGAGTGTGAGTGAGACACAGAGAGAGAGCGAGGAATAGCAAAGGGTATCTTGAGGGAAAAGAGAATGGAGACGAACGAGGGGCCGAGGAAGAGAAGAAGAAGCTAAAGACTAAGCAAGCTGGGGCTCTGGGGACTTCAATGGGGAACGGGGAGGGTCGGGGGGGGGGACCACGGGGGGTATCACGCGGAGAGAAGAGCAAAATCGACGGCGCCCCTGGGGTTGTACGGGATTTGTTTCTGCAAGCACGCGCAAGAGCAAAGGGGGCCGTAGGAGCCGGCGTGGGTGGCGGGGCGGGGACGGGGGGAGACGGGAACAAGTCGGGATCGTGAATTTCGCGATGGAGCACGAGGCGATGGAACTTGGGAGTAAGGATATGTGTGTGTGTACAGGTATAGGTTGTGGTTCTTGTGTGTGAATGATGACTGACTGTCTAGCTAAATATGCCGTCCCTCGAGGAGGCTGGTCGGTGGTGGTGGTGGTGGTGGTGGTGGTAGTACGAACGGCGGGAGACTGAGACTTGGACTGAGACGAGGTATTCTTGGTAGACTGTTCGTCTCGTGAAGCTCCTGCGTCTATTCCAGCCGCACGAACACCGTTGCCGTTGTTAGCCTCTGCCTCTGCCGTGGTATTATTTCCCAGGGTCTTTGTCTGTGTCCGCCGCTGCGACGACAAATTTCGGACGGACATGTGCTGCAGCAGCGGCGGCCCCAGCTGGAGCTTCGCGCCGGCGCTCGGCATGATGTCAGAAGCGGGCGTGGGGCGCTGATTGGAGGAAGAATTGAGGGGTTTGGGCCTCGCGCGAAGCTCCCGCTGCTGCTGCTGCTGCGCTGCTGCCGTTTTGCACGTGTAATAACCCGTACTAACTATACCATTCTCACCAGCGTCACTCTCACCTCTGCGGCCGTGTATACATCGCCTATGGACCATCCATGATCTCAATGGCTTCGTCCTCGGCTTTGCCCTCAGACTCGGGTCGACGAGTATGTGCGAGGCCACCACCGACTCGCTGGTACCGGAGACGACGGGACCCAGAAAGGGGGAAATCCTGGGGAGTAATTGGGGGGTCTTAAGGACGCGTGAGAGGATTCGGGGATACATGAAGGAAATTGGGCCCAATACTGGGTCTCAAGAGTCGTAGATCGAGCTCGAGGGGGCTCGGGAATCGAAAGGATTTGCTGCCTGCATACAACACGGTAGCGAACAATACAGGCGAATCAAGAATGTCTGCTGAAGGATGTCGGTCGTTCGCCTTCGCGAAACTTTTTTTGCGCCGCTGGGTCGCTGGTTCGCGGGTGGGAATCCCGAGGTGCTTTTGATGGAGACATGGGGCGGCTCTGGGTCTCGGTTATGGTCGGGGTTTGAGTACCGAGAATCTCTCCTTTTTTAGGTAAAAGGTAATGGGTCTGCTGGGGTCTGGGGTCGATGAGTTGACGGGCCTTCACCGAGGTGAGGGTGGTGAGCGGACTGTCACCGGCGCTAGGTTTCGACTACATCGTAGGCGTGAGTGTGTGACATAATCATTTGCCGTTCTATGAACCCTTGCTCTTTGCCTGCTGCCGTTAAGGACTGTCTGTTGGTTTACAAGAGCATGCTCCAGTGAGAATATAGAAGACACAAGTAATGGCAGGAATATAGATAAAAGTGATGAAAAAGAAGAATAAGAAAGCTAGGAATAATAATAAGTAGGTCGTAAGGAAGTAGTACAGTTCTTTGTTGGCCGGCATTCTGTTTTGTCAACCACTTGACTACACCGCAGTTGTAGTTTGTATGAGCGCGTTGATTGAGTGGGCCGTACAGAGTAAGTAGGGTGTCAATGGTCTATCCGTCTACTCAAACCGTTCGTATGGGGGAGTTTTCGTTTGGCCATGATGGGGGGTGGCCGCCCATAAGGGGCACGAATGTCCAGACTCTTCTTCCGCTGCTTGGAAGACTTGTCCGTAGCTTGAGAGACTATTACTATTTGCCGTGGAGATGATGAACGACCTGAGATTGTGAGTATGGACTTGGTACCTGGCAGCTGCTGTCTTTGGGATATTAGCTCTAACTACCTTACCTTGTTATCGAAGAAAGTAAATTCTTTGTGAGTCACAAGTACGAGAATATATTGGCTCAGGTAGGAATGGAAGGCGTGTTTAGAGACGGTGATGGAAGTTGCTGATTGGGCCGGTGTCAATCCTCAAAGGCATCCAAAAAAGCGCAACATCACAATAAACTTGAAAACTCGAATGTATTCACCTTGTTGGCGCTAAGTCCACAGGCACCTTGAACTCCAGCTATACCTAGGTATGGCTGAACTTGGTCAATGCTAACCTTCAGCTCGGAGATTCCAGTTGCCGTTGTCATCGCAGCCTTGTTGCGACCCTTCTTTTACCCGATCAAAATTCCTATTCGCCTAGTACTTACATCAGTACTCCAACTTAGTATCTCCACCCAATCCCCAGCCCCCTTACGCCAGACAAGAAGTAACCGCGTCCCAGGCAGCACGGTCTCCACGCTCCACGTCCAGAACTAATGGGCTCGTAATGCTTTCATGTATGCTTAAGAAGAGCGAGGCGAGGAACGCGCCTGAGATGGCAACAAGGGGGAGCACCGGAAGGATCTTGTCGAGGACTAGCTCCGATCCCTTTACTAATGTGGACAGAGTCGCATAAGACGATAGAATGAAGAGAATGGAGTAGCTGGATTTAGACTGTGAATTTCGTTGTCTTTGCAAATCGCTGAGGGCTAACACATACGCGTTGGGCATCTTGGACATGTGACGCCATGTGAGAAAGAGGACACTGTCCGCAAGTGCAGCACTGCACCAAAGGCTGTTTACCCTCGTTAGTAAACAGAAACCGAAAGCCCTGGTGACGGCTAGGCAGACCAGTTGTAAAGCAACGGGGCAATAGGCTCATCGTGTGCAATCGCAATATAGACGGATACGACTGTTCCCGCAGTACCTCCGACTTTGCGGAGTATCGTGAGGAAGCGCCTGCGGCGAAGTCCACCGATTCGACGCCCGATATTGATATGACGCCAGATTCTAGAGAGACAATTGATTTTCGTGTCAGTGGTGATCCTATCTCTGGTGCTTCCTGGAGGGAAAGTGAGAAACGCACTCGATTCTGCTGTTTATTGGAAGCCTCAGGAATCTCGGATGAAACAACATTGACCTTTCTGGAGGAGCCGGATCTGGAGGAACCGGCTCCCCGAGCTGCTGCCGCTCTAGGTCTGTCATGATCACGAGAACGGATCCAAATAACAAAGTCTGTATAAACTGGAAAGGAAAGTTCTCGTTATTGGGCTCCAGAGATTACGGATATGAAGATAGGTTAGGGAAAGGATGGTGCCGAGTATTTTCGCCCAAAGGTCAAGGTTGGGAGAGAAAGGAGAAGTTGGAGAGGGGGCTCGAAGTCTGCTAAGAGCCCAGGGAACCCAAGGCCTACTTTGTGTAACGCTATCAAGTGAGGCTGTGTATTGGTTGCCTCTTTCCATGGCCCAATCATCAGGCTGTTCTCAAGACCATATGTGCGCTGGCAGGGCTCGCTGAGGGGGTTGGGCCGCACTTCATTTCTAGAGAGCGTCAAGCAGGCTTACAACTTAGCAGAAACACCAAGAACAATCTTCGTCCTGCGGCAGACAACATCTCTGATCAAGCTACTCATCATGGGTGGGTATTCTCGGACCGTGGGAAGATTCGTCGGATTCCGCAGCAGGAGAGGGCCTCCTACGTTGTCTGGATCCCTGGGCGCCGATATCGAGAAAAACGGTCTCGAAATGGATCCTTCGGAGAAGAACAATTCGAATTTCGCATCCCACTCAAGCGGCTCGATAAGTGAGGATACCTCTGACTTCAAGAAACCTACGACAACGCTTCTAGCGGCAACATTGATCTTACTGGGCTCGAGCACCCTAGACCTGTACGCCATGCTCCGTCAAAGTCAGCCTGAACTCGAAAAGGCACCTCCGGAGGACGGAGGCTTTGCGGTCGAAGCTCAACCGCCTGACGGGAAATGGTACCGGATGTTGAATGAAAGCTTGGGAGAAAACATGAGACTCAAGGTCTGTAATCTAAAGAGATCGCTCGAAAACTGTGGCTAACCTCTATCGTCTTTCTTCCTGCGCAGGCTATTCATATTCTCTCTCGTCCGTCGCCCGAAGTGTTGATCCTCGGGTTGGTTGCCTACGGGGCTGGAGCATCGACCCTATATCATCTGAACCATCGAGAAAAGTATCGGGACACAATGCTTGCTGGGGGGATCTTGCTCGGGTTCTGTGTGGGGATTGCATGGGAGCTAGACGGACAGTCCATCCTCTTGCGTATCCTTCCCTGGACAGTGCTCGTTGCTCTCTCACTCAGTAATGCGAGGATTCAGATATACGGAACTTCGAACAGTCGTCCTCAGAGCAGCTGGTGTTCATCTACTTGAAGATGTTCAAGCCTTACTGACTTGATTTGCTTGCTGTGCCTGACAGTCGTGATGGACAAGGAACCCAACACGTTTTTTCTTCTCTTGTCGGAGCGGGATTGAGTAGTTCTGCTAGACAGAACCAAAACAGCATTTGATTGCCGAGGAATTGATGAATATCTTATTGAAGAAGGGTACTGCAGTTGAATGGAACGCTTGTATCTAAGTCCTGAAATTCCCACTGCGATTTTGACCTCAACGATGGTATGACGTTATGTGCGCTTCTGAAGACAGAGTCCTCAAGTGAATCTTGAGAGATTGTTCTCTAGAATGTCACCAGGGAAGTTTTAAGAGCTTCACATTATATCTTCCGCATTCAGTGTAAGATTACGAGAATGTGAATAGTTCGAGACGTAGAATCAGTAGTCGTTGCATCAACTTGAAGGCGCCCCCTTTCATTCTGACTAGGGACAGGAAGAATTCGGCCTCAATCTTCACTTATCTTAGGTGTGTATCTGAAACATAGAAGGCACAATTGAGGTATAGTATTTGATCCTGGACCACTGAGTGTGAATGCCTTTGATGTGTTCAGGTAAATGCCCAATGATCCAATATGGTAATTTCATGCCGAGTAAGACCGCGCCTACCCATACGAAGCGCAGATATCTGCATGACTTTGAAAGCGGCAAAGGCTCTGAATACACTTGGAAGAAAAAGCAGATCTCCAACCGAGAACTCAAACTCATCAAGGATAAGCATCGATGGCCCGACCCAGCGGATCCCACGAAGATGAAATGAAGACCTCTTCTGACATCCCAGGCTGTCTCCTCAGGCGCTCTCACATCTACACTGCAGTCTTGAGGAATGCCATAATTATTCATACTTTCCCTACATCCACCCTAAGCGGGCTGCTTGAGGAAGTCGCTTAACTTCACCTTGATTGGTCGCTCGTCCTCAGCCTCAGGAAATGGGGAGCGCTACAATCATAACATGAAGCCATTCGCAATTATCACCACTCACTCCAATTTGCCAAAACCAAAACGAAAGACACCTTTTACATGAAGTTGAAATCATCTTCAACACATCAACCGTACTTTAAATTAGAAGTAGATAAGAAATAAGAAGTACAAAAAAAATGCAAAAGATAGTACACGCCCAACTTCAACCGAGGCTCGAACTTGCGCGTCCCGCGAGGCAACCAGAGAGGGCCCGATCGGGATATTTGCTTTCCCTCAGCATGCTGAGGTGATACCACTAGACCAAGTGCACTTGATCTAGTGGTACCGCCTCATCTGGTGAAAGCAAAGCGAGTTGGAGCGCCTCATGAAGGTCTGGACGGAAGATGGAAAAGACATCCGGGTGTAGAGCAGGGAGGTGAGGCAGGTAGGTGGACTTGCGCACCACCTTTGGAAGGAAGGTTAGCCAGTTCAACCCCAAACCTTCCTGCCGTACGACCCGGTCGTCTATCTACCCAAGATACGTACAGCCTCAAATTTGTGTGGTCGGTCCAGCTACTGAAGGCTCTGGATGAACACCCTGATGACTACATCTTGCTGCGGCATCGTCGACATGCCTCCTACCATGGCCGTATTGAGTTTTCGAAACGCAATGCCCATTAAGCCACGATTAATGCTGACCATTGCCCTTAAAAAGAGAAAAGAAAAATGAGAGGAGAATTGATGGGTATCACAAACGTATCCTATCCTCCAACCACTCTGCAATGGCATCCTCCCCACGCTCACCAAGCTGAAGCCCCTCGTTCTTACCAGCCTCGACGACAGTCACCCGCCTCTCAGCCTCGGCTTCCACGTCAAAGTCCTCGTCCCACTGCAGCCTCGCCTTAAACTCCAGCTTCTCCAAGCTCCGCCTCATCAACCCCGCCAGCTCCGTGGCCTGAGCCTCAAAGGTGTGCCCTGCCACCTTCCGTCTCCTCGCCATTCTAGAGGCAAGTTCTCCAGCCATGGACGATGCCAAGCTGCTCTTTCTCCTCGTCGTCTTACGCTTCGTTACAAGTTCCGTCGGGGTATCATGAAGTAGCAAAGCGTGAGGCAGCTTGAGCGTCGACTTTCTCGGCGGGAACACAAGGGCGCTCCGCCTCGGCGCTGCCATCATCAGCCCTTCGGTAACGCCAAGGATATCAGTCGGCTTCACGTCCGAGTTGACAGAGGAAAGCCGTTCCAACAACGACGACACGGCCTCCGCCTGCACGAAGCTCGACGGCGCGTTCATGCCAGGCGTCTGAAAGAGGAGACTCGGGCTCACGAAGGGGTCGAACAGGTCTACAGGCGCACGGAACAGATCCGTCATCTTCATCTGCAGCATGTGCAGCGTCGAACCTTGTTCAGGCCGCGGCGGGAGCTTCTTGCTGCGCGCGGTGGCGGGCTTGTTGATCTTGTGGTCCGGGAGGAACATGGACCAGTTGTAGATACCGTTCCAGGCGATCAGTCCACGGACGGCCATACGGGCGTGGTGGTGGGACTCGGTCAGGGCTAGGGAGGTGGCGATGCTGGCGCCGGCGTGGGAGCTGTAGACGTAGATGTCGCGGCGGGAGTTGGTGCCGGAGGGTAAGAGGTTCTCTGTGATCCAGGTGTAGCCGGCGAGGACGTCGTGTAAGGGGGTGGGCCATGTGAGAGGTGTGGTGAAGTTGAAGTCGGGGTCTGGGTCGTATTCGGCTTCCGGTGAGGTGGGGACTGGGGACTCGGACCGGGACGGAGACCATCGGTAGTTGATGACGGCCGTTGGGTACGGCATGAGGAAGTGGGGGATGGGGGTCAGGTATCCAGGGGTTGGTGAGAAGGGCGGGATGTACACCATCAAAGGATTTGTGGCGGGATGACGGTTCACATTGTGAAGGCTGATGTTTGCATTAGAAAAGAAGCCATGATCTGATGGGATGGAGCGAGATATACTCTACTGTGATGGCGCCCGAAGAACGACAACTCACATCGACGGACTCGATGTCAGGCCTGTCAAGATGGAAACATCTTCGTTGAAAGACGTGAGTTGGGCGCAGACGAGACGACAGCCAAGGTGCCGGCCATCTTCTCATCGTCTATGAATATGAGACAATAGCAGGACGAGCTACTGAAACACTCATGTCCAGTTGGTCGCTCACTCACCCACTCACAGACTCATACCTACTCGTGTGAGTACCTTGGATGTAAGTGTATGAGTTTGAGTGAGTAAGTTATCCGAGTAAACAACCAACTGCAATTCCCCAGACGCGTTTTTTCTCACCAAGTTGTAAAGGGACCACCCTCGGACCAACCAGCGGCCATTCCGTCTCCTCCACACCACCACACCACCATCATCTTTCATTTCTCCAGCCTTCGTGTTTGCACCGCAGCAAACTGTCCCCCACACGTCACCTGTGCTAAGCTTCAAGTTCTTGGTCAAGGGTCCCTTCGACTCCCACTTTGCCGCAGTAGCGTCTACGTCATACTACTGTGTCCTGGCACCGCCTAAGAATTTGACCCCAAGCGCCGGAGCAACCACCGCTGAAATGGAGCCAAGGGATCGCTGTGTCGGGAGAGATCATGAGCTCTGTCCTACTGCAGGCATGGGTGACCTGATCTGTCTTATGATTGACACCAATCTGTTGGCGACATGCAATCCGGGGGGCATATTGCATGCCAAGTGAAGAAAGATATATATAAGTTCGAATGCCAAGGACGAATGGTGCAAACGGTCACGGCGGAACTGGCGGCCAAACATTTCTTCAAAGATACAAGATCGCCGAGGCTCGCGAGGGAACCACACACTCGAGAATCTGAGATGGTCAGACAGAGATCATCCAGCCGTTTACGATCCAAACTAGGCCACGCAACAAAACGCCCGTCCGTTGCGTTCCTCGCTACGTATTGGAGCACATCTTTTGACGTGTCTCACTTATCTGATCAGTAGACGCGAAAAGGAAGAAAAAACGAGAGCAAAAACAAGGCGCGAGTGCACACCCTCTTCGGCATCCCCCAAACAGACGTCATCGCGAAGTGCCTTCATCCCCCTCTGTCTGGGGCACCCCGGCTAGCACGGATACCGGTAGTACTTTCAGGAGTCTAGACTCCCGACTCTATGGATCCTCAACCCCGATGAGAAAAAGGAGATTTCGAGAATTCCCCTCTTCTTCAACTTGGGTATCAACTACGGCCAAGACCTGTCAAGATAATCTTTCAGAAGACTCTAGCATCGTATTCTTGAGAAAACACCCCACCGTAGGTAGCTTGCAGCAGCCGGGAATGCCTTCACCTTCGGCGGATCCACCACACCACACCCGTTCATCTGCCCCGCGTGGCTCGCCGCTCGACCCAACCTCTACGCCGCCATGAACGACGCCGACCTGGGCGATAACATTGACGAGCGCATCGGCCAGCTCGAGCAGTCCAAGAATCCCCGCAGCAGCGAGAAGCGCTTCGCCAACGATGTCGCACATCTCGACCCGAGCCGGTGGTGGTTCGCCTCCTCCGCGTTTCCCATGATCGCCGGCACCCTCGGCCCCGTAGCCTCGGCGTTCAGTATTTGTGCTCTCGTCCGGCCTTGGCGACAGCACTACCCGCCCGGCACCGACATCACCACCGCCGCTTTTGAGCCGGATCCGAAATGGTCAGACCCCCGTGTCATTAATGATCACTCACAATCCCCATGTGTGAGCCATGTGTCAACACTAACATGAGACTAACGATGTTTGCAGGCTCATCATTGTTAACGCCATCCAGCTGGCGATAGCAATCATCTCAAATGTCTTCCTCCTCCTCAACATGGCCCGCCGCGTCCGCTTCTCTCTCGCCCAACCCATCACTATCGTGGGCTGGTACATGTCTGCCATCTGCCTCGTCGCCCTCAACGCCACCGCCGCGGGCCCTCTCGTCATCGAGCCCGCCGAGGAGTACATCTTCTCCCAGGCCTTCTACTACGGCATGTTCGCCGCGATCCTCTACTTCCTCACAGCCTCCCTTATGGTCGTCACCGTCTACGGCGCCGCCACCAGCCACTACGCAAAGGACTTCCAGCTCACCACCGCCCAGCGCACTCTCATGCTCCAGACCATCCTCTTCCTCTGCTACCTGCTCGTCGGCGCCCTCGTCTTCTCTACCATTGAGAGCTGGTCTTACCTCGATGCCGTCTACTGGGCCCAGGTCACCCTCTTCACCGTTGGCTTCGGCGACTTCGCCGCCGCATCCCCCCTCGGCCGCGCCCTCCTCATCCCCTATGCCCTTGTCGGCGTCATCTCCCTCGGTCTCGTCATCGGCTCCATCCGAAGCCTCGTCCTCGAGCGCGGCCGCCGCAGGCTCGACGCCCGCATGGTGGAGAAGAAGCGCCGCCAGCTCATCCGCACAATGACACGCAAGGGTAAAGACGAGATCCTGAAGCCCATCCACCCGGACACCAACGACACCTCCGCCTCGGCCGCCTCGTCTCCTTCTCTACCCGGCACCGAGCTCGCGCGCCGTGAGGAAGAATTCAACCTCATGCGCAAGATCCAGCACCAAGCCTCGGCGCGCCGCCGCTGGATGGCCATGTCCGTCTCCTTCTCCTCCTGGCTCGTCCTCTGGCTCGTCGGCGCGAAAGTCTTTCAAGAGTGCGAGCGCCCTTACCAGAACTGGTCGTATTTTGAGGGCTTCTACTTTGCCTTTGTCACCCTCACGACGATAGGTTACGGCGACCGCACCCCCATCTCCAACTCGGGCAAGGCCTTCTTCGTCTTCTGGTCCCTCCTCGCCCTACCCACCATGACGGTCATGATCTCCAACGCGGGCGATACCGTCGTCAAGGCCGTCCGTGATGCTACCCTCGAGCTCGGAAACATCACCATTCTCCCCGGAGAGCGCGGCTTCCATAAGGATCTAATGTCCGTCCTCCACCGCCTTACCTGCGGCTTCCTCTTCCACCCCACCGACGAGGACTCGGATGAAGACTCGGATGACGAAGACGACGCCCTCCCACCAGGCTTCCTCTCCAACGCGCACCGCAGACGTAGGGAAGAAGACGACGACGACGACAACGAGGAAGAAAGCGACGAGACAGAAGCCTACTCCACCGTCCTAGACCGCGAAACCTCCCGCGCCCCTCCAGCGTTCTCACCAGAACCAAAAGACTCCCAGGCCCGTCCATCATCCCGTGACCGCCAAACCAACACCAATACCGCCAACACAAACACAACCCGCCGCCGCCGCCCCTTCTCCCGCGTCCGAGACCCCACCTCCGCCCTCCCAGCCTCCCGCGCAGACTACCACTTCCTCCTCATCTCCGAAATCGCCGCCGTCCGCCAACACGCCAAAGAGAAGCCTGCGAGGAGGTACACCTTTGCCGAGTGGGCGTGGTACCTCAAACTCATAGGCGAAGACGAATCCAGCTCCGCCACGCACCGCAAGGCGCGCCCGCACATCCACTCCAAGAAGAAGGCGAAAAAGGCAGCCAAGAAACGACGGCGTAACGGGGTTGTGGATGAGGAAAATGCAGAGCACACGGAGGCAGAGTGCCCCGACGAGGATAAATGGTCCTGGGTCGGCTCGCAGTCGCCGCTGATGGGCAGCCAGGAGGAGTGCGAGTGGATCCTGGAGAAGCTTACCGAGAAGCTGCGGGACGAGCTCGATGTCGTGCGCGGCGAGGAGCTCGAGAGGAAGAGTACTGTGGACCGGGAGCGGGATCTGGCTGATGAGAGGAAGGGGAGGGATGAGGTTGATGAGTTGTTGAGATCGTGATACCCCCTTTCTTGATTGTCATTTGTATTGCGATGTTCACCACGTATGTAATCTTTGGGAAAACTTTGGCCGGTTCAGATATTTCATCACACTGAGAGCCCATACATGATAGGATAGCTACGTTTCCATGATCTATATAACATACAACATACATACATAAAAGAGGTAGCATAATATCAAAGACTTGAGCTTCATCCACATCAGATTCACGTCAAGTTGAAGAACATTTGATCCATAAGGCCACGGGCCACACAAATTAGATACACACAAAAAGAACAACCTTGATATCTCATAGCGAAAAGGGGGGGTATCAGTATCATTAAGTTTTATCCATCCCCACGTGAGGATGCAAAGACCTCCATCCGTGGGAAAGGTTATCTAGATATGCCAGTAGTCCTAGGGCATTCCTTCTTCAAGAATACAAATATACATACACTACCGCTGCACGTATCCAACATGCAGCAAAAAACATGCTCATATCATAACGCTTTCTCAAAACGCTCTGAGAAAAACATCCAACATGTCCCTTCGTCTGCATACCCAATAAGACGTGTATGCTTCTTTCTCCACCCTCATCTTGTTAACGATAGTCTTCTCCTGTTCAAGAAGAAAAAGAACTTCACCACCTTGTTCCACTTCCACCAACGCCAGAAAGCAAATCCACCACGGTCCCAACCACGCCGACCCCCAGCACCAGGGTCTGCACGGCAACAGCCACAACGACTCGCTCCACGAGATCCAAAAGACTCACGGCTAGTCATCTGCTGCCGAGGAGAAGCCTCCGGTTACGCTTCATCGCCTGATTCAGCCCCTTCTCAAGCTTCTCTGTCTCCTTGCGCGCAATGCCCAGCGCCGACTCGGCATCCTCTACGCTCATGAGCGACATGGCATTGAGCGGTGTGCCAGGCAGCTTGGGATGCACGGCCCCAGTTCTCTGCTGGGCGTCTACCTGTGCGGCGGCGGCCGCCATGGTCGAAGGTGAGGCGTCGGTGACGAAGCCCTCGCTACCCTGTTGGTGCTGTGGCGAGTCCAGACCTCCAAATGGCGTCTCGTCCTCGGGAATGTCTTTGCCTGAGCCACCGCTCTCGGCGGAGTAGATGCCTGCGCCCGCTGCTGCGTCGTGTCCATAAATGTACGGAGCAAGGGAGTTTAGGCTGGCGGCAGCTGTTTCCCGTGCAGATAAAGCGTCCTTGGCACCAGGCGCAGATTTCCAGCTGCCCGGGAACAGGTTGGTGTTGCCCAAGTTGAGTCGCGGGAGAACAAACTGGTTGATGTAGCTGATGGCCTCTTCACGCTGAATCTTATTGACAGGGTCATCAGAGAACATCTTTTGTGCGTTGGGCGAGGGTGGGAAGTAGGATGGGGGGCCGTTGGGTACCGCTCTGCCCTTAATCAGGGAGAAGCCACCCGGACGGGCCTGATGACGGGGCGCAACAAAGCTGTCGGGCTGATCACTACCAACTGCCACAGACTTTTGGAGCGCAAGATATCTGCCTTCTTCCTCTTCGGTGAGGTTTCTCAGGCAATCCCCGTTGGGCGTGATGAGTACACGCTGACCTTCCATGACCTTGCGGACCGGCTGACCAGTAAGTAGGACAGCATGGTCTGCCTCGGACACCATATTTTTGGTCGTAGCCGTAGGAGGCGGGTTATTGCTCAGGGTCGCAGCGGAAGGCCTGTCGAAGCGAGAGTGAGCGTCGAGGAAAGGCTTGAGCAGGGCGAGGAGTTCCGCGGTAGGAACCTCGCCTGCTTCATGCAAGGCATGGTAGACAACTTCAGGAAAGGTATTCGGGTTGTCGGCAATATCCTGAGATTCCTCTGGCACAGCAACAGCTGTGGGTGCAGGAGGCGGTGGTGTAGGCGTTGTAGGTGTCCCTTCCTTACTCTTGCCCTTCTCCTCCGCTGCCTTGGCCATCTTGGCGGCTTGCTTGGCAGCCTTGCCCTTGGGAGGGGGCAGGTCCACCACCGTTCTCTCGACGATGGGCTTGGGAGGAGGAGTTGGCTCCTTGGGAGGAGGGGGTGGGGTTGCGGCACGCTCGACGGGTTTCTTGACTAGTGTAGGCGCCGCTGTGATCGGCTTTTCCTTCTTCTGCTTCTTCTTGCGGCCGAGGATGGGAGCCTGCTCTTCGGTTTCCACGACTTTAGGCGCAACAGTAATGGAAGCGGACTGCTCCTTGTGCGCCTCCTTTCGCTGCTTGCGCTGCTGACTCTTTGTTGTGTTGCGAACAGGTGCGGTTCCCACTCTGGTAGGAGGAGGTGAGCTGGTGCGAGAAGCAGACACAGACGCGGAGACGATAGAAGCGCTATCGCTGATGATTTCGCTAGCCGGGGTTTCAGGACGTCCAGAGGCGGAGGACACAGCTCTGGCGGCCGCAGAAAATGCGGCGCCCGATGATAGCGCTGGCGGGACTTCGGCTTTGGGCGTCGATACAACTCGCAAGGTCTTGGGCGCTGCTCTCGCGATGGGCGATGCCACACTGGTAGTTGTTGGTGTTGGCAACGCTGGGAAGGCCGAGACGTCAGATTGCTCCGTTGTGGTGGTCTCTGGTTGTTTCGACTGGGCAGCACTGGTGGCGGCGGCAATGTTCAAGATACCCGGTACAGGCTTCTCCGTGGCCTTGGTAGCTTTGGGGGCTTCAACAGCCAGCACGGGAGATGGAACTGAAGCAGGCGTCGCGGCCTCTGGTGGGGGCTTCTTGATGCTCGCTGGGGCGATCTTTGGAGTTGCAGCTGCTGACTTTGCTGGGGTCGCAGGCCGTGGGACATTTCCCAGTGCTGGGAAATCCTCTTCCTGCAACTGCAATACAGACTTGCCCTTGGAGGGAGATGCCTGAGAGGCAATGTCTTTTGATAGCCCACTCTCGACAGCCAAGGCTTTGATATTCTTCTTGGCTTCTGTTCCACCAGCCTTCTTACGAGAAGCCTGATCCGGTGTGGCAGTCCGCACGATGTTAGCCATGGTAGGGACTGCCGGCTTGGGGGCAGAGGGTGTCAGTGGCGTAACTGGTATTACGGGGATTGGAGCTTGTCGCGGAGCCGGCGATGCGGTTCTCTGTGGAGGGCCGAGACCAGGCGGAGGGGTCGGAGCTGCTGGTCGTGATAGTCCGCCAAGGGTACCAACATAGCTCGGCAGTGGGTCGTCAGAGACCAGTTTGTCTACTGATAAAGTGGCCTCATCGTCGAGTGAAAAGAGATCGTCATCTAGGGAACCAGTTAGCCAAGGGGTTCCCTAGAAGTGGTGTTTCTTCAAAGACAAATAAGGAAAAGAAGAGACAATAAAGCATGGTAGCAGCACGAGAGACAACAGTTTATATACATGGACAAAGTTTTACAGGAACAAGACAAGTCACGGCTGCCATCATCGTCTTCCATGATGATTTGCGAGGACAAACGAGCGGTAAGTATGAGCAACGTGCTATATTGGTCCTTGTGCCACCCCCATCCTCATAACCGGAGGACGGTTTGCGAGTTAACGTACATTGAGGCGACTGGAAGACGATGATGGCTTGCCTGACTGACGTGACCCCATTAACCATGACGACGTGTGGTCCCAAATGAAAAAAGAGGTATAATGCCGAGACGAAGTGTAGGTGTCGGTCCTTGCTTGCCCAGAAGAAAACGTGAAGCGACGCCAAATGCAACCCTTTGCCACTCTCCCCTGAGCAGCCCTGATGTTTTCCGCAATGCTCGCTGAATCAATGCGTGTGTAATGTGCGGTGCGCTCTCGGTCCCTTTGAAGAACGGTCGTCCGCCTGTGATATGCCGCGACGCCCTCCCCCTCATGATACATGAAGTGTAAAACAAAACCCGTAAACGACCAACACCGACACCTCATCTATCGCGTTGTCTCTCGAGGCTACCAGCCTGCGCCTGGGAAACGCGTATTGTACATCATGTTCGGGTTGTACCCACCTTGGCTCTGTCCACCGAACAGTCCCTGTCCGACTCCGGCGTTGCTCTGCGACTGGTGTTGCATTCTCGCTTGCAGGATACTCGGGTCCGCAAGATCAACTAGGCCACCTCCTCCAGAGGAGGAAGTGTTAGCATGTCTGTGCTTCTTCCCCTTCTTCTTCTGCTTGGGACCGAAGTCTTGGAATGCTCCAGGCTGATTACCGTAGAGCGACGCCAGGAGGCCCGAAGCAGGAGCTGGGGTGGAGGAGGTAGAGGATGGGTACTGATTAGAGAAAGAAGATAACATGTACTCACGCTTACCAGCATCATGACCCTGTCCATTGGTTCCCCGACCCCGGATCAACGTCTGGAGAAGCTCGGCGGAATCCTTGGAAGTCGCACCAAAGGCGCCACCGAACTGGCCCTGTCCAAACATATTCGGGGGAGTTCCTGTCGACTTGAGACCTGGAGGAGGTCCGGGCATGGAGGATGCATAATACTGGCTGCCGGGCTGCGAGTGGAAAGCGGAAGGCATCATGGCCGTCTGTTGAGCCATGATTCTTGGGTTGGCGGCAACCTTGACTGAAGCTGAAGTGCCGGCGGTGTCATTAGCAAAGCTGAACCTAGATCCTTGTCTGTTGTGGCCGCCACCTTGTTGCTGTACCGCAGAAGGCTGCGCAGTTGGAATGCCTGGAGGCAGGTGATCGCCAAAGCCGCTCTGAGATCTAACGAAGAGCTGTTGTTGAGGTGTCATGGAACGGCTGCCACCAACAGAGCTAGCAGACACGGAAGCTTGACCGAATCCAGAGCCAAGTGCGGGACCGAAAGGACCATCGTTGTTGTTGCGCTGGATGGGAGGCTGGGTGCCAGGTCTACGCTGCTCGAAGACGACGTCGCGAGCAACGTCTCGGTCTTCGGGCTCGCCACCGAGCGCCAGACTGCCTCCAGTCTCCGGCTCGCCTTCCGAGGCCTCCTGGGGTTCGCTTTGTTGCTCCTGGTCTACGCCGAGGCGTGATTCCTCTTCTTCGCGCATGGCTCTTCTCTTCTCGCCTCCGCGGGTGTCGAACATGGGAGGGTAAATCGTCTCGAGCTGGTTCGTATCCGGCGCATGGTATGAGAAAGGACAGCCCTGCATAGCCTTGAGCAACTGTCTGAGCAGATTCTCTGGAAGGCTGTTGGACTTTCGGTTGTCAGCAGGAGCGGCCGGCTTCGGGGCCTTGGTCTCGGTCGGGGGTGCGGGGGTTTCCTTTCTCGAGGGGGTTTCGTCGATGGCCTCGGGTACTGCCTCGGTGGTAACGGGAAGAGCTGTCGAGATTGCAGGGCTTGAAGCGGCGCCACTAGTGGCGTGGCTTCCCCGGCGACTGCGCTGAGGATTTCTTGCCCAGTTGGCAGAGGCAGGCAGAGCTGGTCCGTCGCCGCCATTCTCGGAGCCGTCCTTGCTTGACGATCGTGCCATCGGTTGAGAAGCGGGAGCCGCAGGCGGTGCGGTGTTCTGTTGTCGAGAAGCGGTGCGAGACGGTCCGCCTCCACTGCTGGAGGAACCACCTCCCGGGAGGGGCCGCTGAGAGCTGATGCTGTTCATCGAGGATAGATCCTGTCTAGTGTAGCTGTCTTCCTCGTCACCCAGCTCATGCAAGAACATGCACTGCCTGTTGGTGCACTGCTCGTGCCGCAGCCAGGCCGAGCAGTACTTGGTAGTACCGAGCTGAGCTCTGAGAACGCGATCGCCATTCTGAGAACCGTTGACAGCCTGGATGCAACGTTGGGCGTCTTCCTTCTTCTCGAAAGTCACATAAATTCCGAGAGACTGGTGTTGGCCGTCCTGGCTCTTCCGACTGCTAATCGAGATTTTCAGAATGTTGCCGTATTGACCGAAGAATTCGGGCTTGCGAAGCGTCTTGAGTAATTCGTCCTCTCGCACTGTAGGTGTCAGACCGGTCACGTAAACCAGGTTCTTCTGAACGACCCGGACGCCAATAAGGTTTTTGCGGTTTTCCTTCTCAACCTCGCGCTTCTGAACCTCCTTTTGCTTTTGTTCCACAGCTCGCTTCTTCTGGTTCTTCTGGATGTTTGCTCGGAACTCGGCGACCCTAGTGTTTGTCAGCGTGGCGTCGACCAAGGTGGTAGGAGGGGTACACACTCTTCCGTAGTGACAACCTTCCACTGGATTGTCTTCTCGTCATAAGGTCTTCGGCATGCAGGACACAGGCCGTTCATGTTGTTCTTGATATTATTGAAGCAGAACTGGCACACCTATGAAACGGTTAGAGGTCGGAATTCTTCGCCCGTGGCAGGAACGATGGAATATGGAAGTCGCTGTCGCCGTACCTGGTAGCCGCAAGGGCATGGTCGGAAATTCCGATCTGAGAGGTCGAACTCCTCGATACATAACGGGCTATAGTGGAGAGAGTCAGTTCACGATGCCCAACACCTCAAGGTTTCACGCATGGGTTGCGTGCAAGCAAGATGCGCGCAAGGTCGGGATTAGGGTGACATACCATGTATCATCCTCCTCGTCGATGAATGTGTCTTGGGGTGCCATGGCGACGGTCTGTGGCGGTAGGTATATTTCGTGGGGTTGCGGGAAGGTTGGGTGTCGATTTGTGAGTGGAGGTGGTTAGGAGAGGGAAGTTGTTCAATACCAGATAGAGGTGAAGCCAAAGCCTTTCTCTGATGGGTCGTCTGCTGTACTATAGCGTGGTGCCTTAGGTAAGATGGACCCACAGAGGACGTCACGTGCCGAACACCAATGACAGGCCAATCAAGGGACCGAGAATATTGCAAGTCAGCAAAATTTAGATCCACCCCTCCCATTCGCTTGGGCAATTATGATGGAAAGAACGCTCTCGAGTAACGGCAAGTACGGTTGCTTGGATTTTTGAAAGAAAATCGCAAATTTCAGAAAGGTGCTCAATATTGGTAATTGTATTTCGACCAAAACTTTGAGTCTTTTAGGATTTGCTAAAAGGTTTCGAACCGTCAAGACACAGAGGTTGTGAGCACATCGTCCAGCCAGTTTGCCGGCACCTCCAGGTCCGCATCAAGTGTCGTAAGTACCACCCTGGGGGTGGACCTACGCCGATTAGCTTCTTTCAATCCCCAAGCATCGCGAATGCACAGCATCATCAATCAACTTCCCCAGAGGCAACAAGCCCCCCAGCACTGCAACAACCGCAACAATGGCAACGAAGCTTTATCGTAGTAGAGCTCTGGCGGGCTTGCGCAACTGCCGCCCTAGCGAGATCCGATCCTTCTCAACCTCAATCCCTCAATCGGCCGGCTTCCCGACCGGCTTTCCCAAGGATGCCGAAAACATGAGGAAGTCTCCTCGCGAGCACATTGGCACCCTCAAGGCTCCTCTCATCAACCCTGCCGACAAGTACGGCTCCAAGGCCGATAACCTCCACAAATATGGCTCTTGGATCATGGGCTGCTTGCCCAAGTACGTCCAGCAGATCTCTGTCTGGAAGGACGAGCTCACCATCTACGTCTCTCCCTCGGGAATCATTCCCGTCTTCTCCTTCCTCAAGTGTAAGTGTCAATTGATCTACGATTTAGCCTCGCTCTCATCTAATAATCCGTAGACAACACTTCGGCCGAGTACACCCAGATTAGCGACATCACTGCCGTCGACTACCCGACCAGAGACCAGCGATTCGAGGTCATCTACAACCTCCTCAGTGTCCGCCACAACTCGCGCATCCGCGTCAAGACCTACGCCGACGAGGCGTCTCCCGTCCCCAGTGTCACTTCACTCTTCGATGGCGCCAACTGGTACGAGCGTGAGGTCTACGATCTTTTCGGCGTCTTCTTCGCCGACCACCCCGATCTGCGCAGAATCATGACCGACTACGGTTTCGAGGGCCACCCCCTGCGAAAGGATTTCCCCCTTACTGGCTACACCGAGGTCAGATACGACGAGGAGAAGAAGCGCATCGTCACCGAGCCTCTTGAGCTTACCCAGGCTTTCCGCAACTTTGAGGGTGGCTCAAGTGCTTGGGAGGGAGTTGGACCTGGCACGGACAGACGCCCCGACACCTTCAAGCTGCCTACGCCGAAGCCAGAGGAGAAGAAGGAGGAGCCGAAGAAATAGATCAGAAGATTCTGACGTGTATATAACTGACTCTAGAATCTTCTTTGTTGTACAACCATACTGCGTTCCACTATTTACTTGAACCTTGTGTGGTTACACCGAAATGCTGGTGAGAAGCGTGGGCCTTGCTGGCTCTGCGCCAGTGACTTGAACGCCTCCCAAAATTGTAACGGTGTTCGAGTCCCATGGTCCTGGAGAAGTCTCAGATAACGGACTAAAAGCCTTGATTCAATAGGTACCCAATGCCGAGCATAAGACTGATCGTCCAAGGTCGACCAAATTGGACTCGGTACCGACACACGGTACTGACTGTGTCACCTTGTTCCGCCTTATGTATACACATTACGTTGGCTGTAAATCGGTACTCAGAGCGCCTCTTCAACCGACATAGCATCGAGTATGTTTTTGGGTTAAGCATCTTCAGGTACCATATTCACGATTTCAAACCCAATCCAGCGGGGTAAATCCAGGGTGAGCCGTGATGTGACCACGTGCGTAAGCAAAGGACATATCTACCTGTTTTCGAAGAAATTGCAAGGGAAGGAATCATAGCTCAATGCCAGGACTCATAACGGCTTGTTGCCTTGAACCGCGAGGGTATCAGACATGTCCCATGGTAACGGAGAAACCTCCCAAGTGCCACCCAAACCATGAGCTCAACCTCTAAGGCCATCCCAGTGTTACACCTAACACTGATTGTATTTCCCTTCTTCTTCATATATGAACGCAGCTGGTCTGCTACAAAGTCCTCAATGGTTTCTGACTTCCACATCCTCGTCACTCATCTCAGACTCATCTCTGCGCCTCACCTCTCGCTCAAATACTCCAAAGACATCACGCTTCCATACCAACTATTTGTCTCCTCATACTTCACTCCACACTACAGCCAAGATGTTTGTATTTGCCGTTTCCAGGTCCCAGCTCCTGTCTGCGGACAGGCTGGAGGAGCTGAGATACAAGGCCAAGATGCAGTACTACCAAGCCCATGTCCTCGACCTCGCATTCTGTGACGTTGATCTCGAGGACCACATCAATGACTTCATTGAGGGATACTACAAGCAGCAGACTTGCGCCACGACTTCATCTTCTTCAGTCTCGCTCGCCTCGGACGAAGCTTCCACGAAGTCTAAGTCCAGGCTGAGACACCTTCTTCACCGTATCACTGGGAAGAAGCTCTAGATGAACAGTCTGCTCTCTCTCTCTCTCTCTCTCTCTCTCTCTCTCTCTCAGAGCCACCAAACAAGTCACACGTACACAAGGATGATCTGCTTCTAGTACAGTCATCGGGCGTCATACTCTCTCTACTCTGTTGGAGACTTCCGAGATGGGTGCTGAAGGACTCACAAAGAGTCAATGTCATGCCCACAGGGTCGTGAACATCAAAACATGACATTGGCCCTAAGAAAGGGATTCATATCCGCTAAACAATATGATACCTACGCGCTCAGAGCTTGCTCTGCCATCTGTCGGAGGCTCATGAACAACATCAGACGAGGAAGATACCATACGAGGAGGATACCATCCTATGAGGATCGTCACTCCAAGGACTTCAAGTCGGCCATCCCCTCCGATCACTAATAGTCGATTGCGAGGCATCGGTGCGCCCGGAGCTAGAGTTGAACGGCCAGAAGAGCCCAACACTTCTATCGGCTCTGTTGCGCTGTCGACAACCCTTGAATCCGCGGGAAGGAATCATTCTCACGCCAGGTGGTATTCATCAAGGAAATCTCCAAGGAGCAAGTCATATGCTGGAAACAGTTGGAGCACTTTCACCACAACTGGTGCTACTATTGCCACTACTACTGCTGGTATACACGTCAGCAGGGCATAGCCTTAGGGTCAGCACGGAGCTCAATAATCGTATATTGAACTGCGTATATCTGAATACTAAGGGTGGAGGAAATTGGCGAAGGCCATCGACTCCGGAGTGTGAGTAGGTAGGAGTGCTCTTTGCACGGCCCACGCCGCCTTACAATTCCACCTCTTTCTACCAACATTCAAACAACTAATACCACCACTACTACCACAACTGCTGTCACCACTACTACGGGGAATAGACCATTAGAACAGCAGTTGAGTGGGCTTCTGGGACAGGAAGATAGTAGTCTTCGCCACTATGCAGCGGTACAACTGCAAGCTTGACCCTGATCAGACCTCAGCAATGATCAAGGCTGCTGTCACGCATTCTACTCAGCGCAAGGCTGACATTATCAACGCGAAGAGGCAGCTTGCTTGCATGCAATCCGAGGGATACAGGAAGCTTAATAAACCGTAATTGTTCATAATGTAATAAAATGGTTTCAAACAATTCAATCGCGTGCTTGATTGTGAACCATACAGAGTTGAAGTGTCGTGAAATACCTTAGGTACCTTGCCTGCAGCATGTGTCTTGCACATGTTCGGGATTGTAAGTTGAACGAGTTGAGTGAAAGGCCAATAGGTAGGAAAGAGGAACAGAGACGAGATAATGCACTTACCCGGAAAAGGAGGCACTATCCAGCACCCATGCATTTCCCCGCCGCCCCGTTAGATGCATGTGATGTCACCACGTCCCACACGCCACTACACGCGTAAATCAATCCCACACTCGAGTACGCGACGCGCCCTCTGGACTGAACAAGGTCTAGTCTCCGAGGAATTGCGCTGACATTACATGCCTTTGCGTTCGAGTCAACGTTGCACATAATTGCCAATATCAACGATCTGCGCGCTCTGGAAGCGATCAAGCTCACGCCTTGCGGTGACGGTTTGCACCATTATCCAACATGCCACCACAAACCCGCTCCGGCGGCCGGACTCCCGCCGCCTTCGACCCATCTCCCGATCGTGTCTATAAGTCTAGCAAGCCGGCGAAGCAGGCAAAGTTCCCGCATCGACGAACTGAAGTTCGAACGTATAGCGCTCGTAAACCAACCGCTCGCATTGCCAACCACCAGCAAAAAACCTTGACACAGATGTTTGAGACTACGCGCTCGTCGCCGTTGCGCCTTGATCTATCCGACGAAGAGGAGGAGCCCCAGCCTAAGAAGAGAAGGAGAAAGACCATGGGAGACGAACCGACGCCAAGCTCATCCTTTCACACCCAGACATTGACGCAGATGTCGCGAAGATCATCCGAGAAATCCACAGCAGAAGAGGAGGAGGAGGACGTATGGCAATTCCAGCCCTCGGACGATGAGGTCGAGAAGGGCCCACCGGTGCTGCCCTCCAGCAACGACAAGGAGAACCAAGTGCCCGGCAAGAAACAGTCGAGCAAACCGCCAAGCAGGACACCCTCCGTCGTTCCACAGACGCCAACAAATAAACGCGTTATTTACGAGATTCCATCGTCTGTAGGCAGCCCGCTTACCCCGATGCTGGCTAGGTACAGCCCGGCGCCAAAAAGGTCTCCCTTGAAAGACAAGTCTACAAACACAATGTCACCGATCCCGAAGCTCACAGCATCCGTCAAACGCCCACGAACTCTGACAGTCCAGGATTCTTATGCGACGGCCGGCAGCCAGAGCTCGAGCCAAATTATATCTCCCAGCAAAATGCCACTACAGCCCACCAAAAATGTTCGCTTCATCACGCCCCATCCTGCAGCCAGTCTAGCTTCCATGGAAGAAGATGAGGAAGCCGAGGGAGAGCGCGAAGTTAGCCCATCCCCTCGCCGGCCGCAAAGGTCGCCTCTGGTCGAAATTGCAGATTCTGAGGATGAATTCGATGATCTTGAAATCCTGGATGAGGAAGCTGAGGGGTACGATGCCGTTGGCGAAGACACACAATTCCAGATGGACCAGGTTCTCGCTTCATCCGAGGAGGGAGTAGCCTCCAAAGAAGCGTCTCCTGCGGAGGAAGGCGACTCTGATAAGGAAAACGTCGCCCCAGCTGCCAAAGAGGATGATGACGAAGAAGATGAGGAGGACGCGACAGTGGTTCTATCGAAGCCGTTTGTGTTTCCCAAGTTGTCACGCGAGGATTCGGGCCGCAGAGAGACCGTGGAGGTCATCACGTCTTCACCAGAGCCTACACACAACAGTGGCTCTAGCGTTCTCAAAACAGCGAGCAGGGAAACCAACGACGAGTCTGTCTCTCAGACGACACCCACACCGAGTCAGAAAACCCCCAAGGCTAAAGGAAAGGCGGCTGTTGAGACACCAAAGACCCCTTACACCCAAGGACTGGAGAGCCAGCGACTACCCTACAGCGTCATACACGGCATGGGGCGCCAGGGCGATCGGACCGACATCTTCATTTCCATACATCCCGAGCACATGGAGGCCATTGTTGCCGGCGAGAAGAACCACGAATTCCGCAACTACAGAATCCCCCACACTGTCACCCGCATGTGGCTTTACGTCACGAAGCCTGTTGCGGAATTGCGGTACATGGCATGCTTCAGCGAGGCCAAATCGCCTGGTGAGATTGATGAGGATGGAGTCGGCAACGTGGAGTTCAATCAGAACAACAGTACCAAGTTTGCGTATCATCTAAAGAAGGTCTTCCAGCTGAACGACCCGATGCCTTTACAGGAGATGATGGATATGGATTGGCTTCACGGACCACCACAGAAGTACAACTACGTGCCGCCCGCAGTTGTCGGACAGTTGATGGCCAACCTGCGTTGCTGTGTTGTCGGTAAAGACGAAGAAGAGGATGAGGATACCGTACCGGAACCCGAGACCGGCAGGAAAGAGTCTTTGCCGGCAGCCGGAGGTCCTTCAGGGGAGCAAACGGTCTCCCAGGAGCTCGCCGAGCAACTCCGAAGCGACATTGAGCACTCCACCCAGCACCACTCCTCCGACGCCGACCTGCTGGTGCCGTCAAGCCAGACTCCTACCAAGAACCGCGGTGGTCGCGGCGGTCGCAAGTTCGGCACGGAGCTCCCTCAATTCACCAAGCCGGCTCTGCCCCCGACGCCCCTCAGCCGCCCGCCCAACCCAACGCCGCGGCGGGCAGTGCGGCCCTCGCAGGCGACGACAGCAAGTCAGGCGTCGAGCCCCTCCCAGTCGCCCGTTAAGTTCAGGTCTGCGCCGCGGCGGCCGACGCGCTCGAATAACCATTCGAGCCTTCCCATCTTTGTGGATGACGAGGATGAGGACGATAGTCCCGTCCACCTGCCGCCGGGAATGTTCCAGATGGACTCCTCGCAATTGCTGTCCAAGAGCCAGATGCTGCCGGAGAGTCTGCTACGTGATGACGGCGGTGACGACGACGATATTATTGTGTTTGATTCAGATCAGGATGATGAGCTGTAGGAGCTCAGTTTCAGTGTGCCTTTGTGGTACTTACTACTTGATTGTAATCGAAGAGGAGGTTGGCGATGTTATTGATATCTTTATTTTCAAGCGTTGGAGTTTGGATTAGCGTCGGCCGGCTTGCAAGGTCTTTGGGACATGGGCAATACAGAATGGACACAATGGCTAGGCTGTGCAGGTATGCAACGATTTTTATTTGAGAGCACGAATAGTGCTTTGCCATTCGTGGTAGAATGGAACATGGCTTGATGTTTCGCTCGAATCCCTCTATAAAACACTACTCCATGAGTTCCTCTTACGTGATTACTTTGCAGTGCTGCCGCAGTCCAACCGAGATCGAAGAGGATTACTCACTTCTATGTTACTTAAAGTCTTGGCGAACTGTAGTAAAGGTGTCTAGAGTCGGCGTAGTAGAAGCGGGCGCGGCGGGAGTTATCACGGGGGCTACGAATAGCGTATTTTGCGAGGGTACGGGCATCTAAGTTAATATCTTTATAGAAGGTCCAGCTAATATTATAATAATTACGGTTAGAGTATAAGGGAGAGGGGGGGTCATTATATTTGATATAGCCGTATATAACAAGCGTCTAAGTTATAAAAAGGCCCTTAGATCCTAGAGTCGTAACCCACGCTCCCCCGCGTCTCCTTTTTTATCCTCGTCCTCCCTCTCTTTCTTATCCTCTTCCTCCTCCTCCTCTTTTTCTATTTCTTTCTCTCGTCTTCTTATAGTATTAGGAGCGTATACTTGCTCGAATCCGGCCTTGGGCTTGCCCAGGGGGCACGGGTTAAAGAAGTACTTGTAATCACTAGGGACGCGATCCCGTTAACGTATATTCCATCCTATCTGTGACGATATATAGTAATCAAAGCCTATATATACCCCCTCAACCCCGTTCCTGTCACAGGCCAGGCGGCGCCCGTCTAGGTCGACGGGTCAGG